CTGGAGGGCTCTCGGCCTCCTTGGCACCCGGACGGGGTGGCGCGCTGGGCCCTGAGTGGCCTCTGCGCTGCTTGCCCCGTGGGACAGCCGCCCGTTCCAGCAGGCCGCTGGCCCCTGGGTGTGTGTCCGTTGGAAAGCTAGCTGACACCCCTTTCTCCCCCATAGTTGTCCAGACCGGTGGGTATCGTCACCCAGGAGCCAGCAACACAGGGACTTCAGATTCAGAACTGGGGCCCCTCACTCTGGCACCCCCAGCTGTTCTCCAGTACTGGCTAGCCCCACATCAGGGAGGACAGCCTAGACGCAGGAGGGTCAGCTTTCCTGTCCTCTTGCTGCCATCCTGCCCAGCAGTTTCCAGCTCCAGGCTGCCTGCCTACTCCAGGCCCTGGTCCTAGCTTCGAGGAGTGGGCATGGTCAGAGGCCCCCACTCATTGCTTTCCCTAGGGTTTGGGAGCCAGTGAGAAGCAGGGGGCTTTATAAATGATCTCCGGGAAGGACATTAATTTGGTGGTGGGGACGGCAGCCAGGCTGTCAGGCTGGTGAAGGATTTGTGCCGAATGGAAATTAAGACAACTGATTATGAACCAAACCCCATGACCGTTGCCCCTTCTGCCTGCCCACCCCCTACAGCGAGGGTGTGGGGGTGGGGTGCAGTTTGGCCACCCTGGGAGTTGCTTAGCACCCAGCATGGCTGCAGGGACATTTGGTGCTATTGAGAGGTCAGCTCCCTAGGGTTTTGAGGGAGCTGGTCTGAGCACCTGGCCTGTGGTTCAGGACAGGCCTGCTACAGGGTGACTGAGGCGGGAGGTTCCAAGTGTGTCAGATCTGAGAAGACTTGCTTCCCAACAGAAGTAGAACAGAGTGGGTGAGTGAGCACCAGGTCCAGCCTGAGGGGCTAGGCATTCATGCCCATTTTGCAGATGAGAAAACTGGTTGGGAGAAGTCCAGCTAAGGTGCTGAGTGGTGGGTTTGTATTGGAGTCCCCAGCTGGGGATGTCTGTGCGTGGTGCTGAGGGAAAGCCACTGCAGAGCCCGTGGGAACTGGTCTGGGGACATCTCCTTTTACTCCACGAAAGCTCTTGTACACACATGTGCTCATAGAACTGGGCTCACCAGAGGACCCTTCCAGAGCAGGAATGTGTGCTCAGCTTAGCTTCTGGCCCCTGGACATGGCCAGGGCCTGGCTGCACTTTGGCTAATTCTTAGGAAGAGAACAAGTCCCTCTCGCTAATGCCCCAGAAGGGACACAGCTAGTCCTGTTAGTTGGCACGTGTGGGCCTGGCGCTGAGGGTGCCCAGGCTCCAGGGTGGCTGTGTTGGAGTCTCTATGAAGAGCAGAGGGTGTACCTCCAAGGTTCCCCACGGGCCTCGGTCAACTGTTCTATCCACAAGGTGCCTGGGAGTCTTGTGTTCGTGAAGTGGCAGCTCTGTGGGCCCAGCTGGTCACCTCCCAGGCAGCCCGTACCCCCAGGCTGAGTGGAGAGTCCTGGGCTCTGATTACATTTTATTTTTTCCTAAGCTTGTGACCGCCTCTGAAGTCCAATGCAGTTGAAGGTCCATTTAAGCGGCTACTTGCCTAAGCCCTTTTGTCAACACAGCCTAATCCCTCATGGGGGGTGAGTGTCAGAGGGCCTGGCTTGTCCAGGACCCACTGGCTGCCCCATCAGACCTGGAGCTGCTGGAAAGTCTCCACTGTCCCGTTCAGCTGCCTGACTGACCACTTTGGGGGTCTGGGGCCGAGAGGGCTTCTTCTCAGAATCACCAAGGGGCTTGGTGGGCCAGGGAGTATCCCAGCTGCTGCCACTGAGCCCATCAGTGTGGGATGAATTGGAAGGAAAGTGAGGCTGGGGAATTTGCCTGAGGCAGCCCTTGCTTCCTGGCCTTGCTGCCCAGGGCCAGCCTTGCTTCATGCCCATTGGGGAGATGGCCCAGGCTGGCCTCAGCTTGGATGGTGGGACTTGAAGGCTGAGCTTGCAAAGTTTAGAGGGGTCAGCCCATACCAGGCCCTCACTGCTAGTGGTGCATTTGCTTGTGGGGGCACCAGGTGGCCAGAAGCAGAAGCAAAGCTATAGGCCTTCTCTGGGGGGACACTCAGGGACCTGGCTGGGTAAGGGGCTTCTGGTAACATCAGAGCCCTTGGGACCCAAAATAGAGCACATTCCGGGGCCTCCCGAAATAACAGGGTCACGTGACTCTCTGAAGGCTGGGCTTGGCGTCCAGCTCGGGCCTGACGAGGCAGTTCATGGCTGGGCCCTGGGCATGCCGATTGGGTGTTTGTTTTGGTAAACTTTGGAGGGGGCTCTGTTTGTTGACTTCGGAAGTGTTAGGGCGAGAAAAATGGCCCTCATATGCTGGCCTGATGGGAGCCATGGCCTTGCCAGCCTGGGGCTGACCACTGTGCCGGGGTCTGAGCATGTGGTCCAGATGTGGGCCAGGCAAGCTGGGCCCACAGGGAGGGCTAGGGAGGGAGGGGAGCCCTGCACACAGCCTAGGGTGCATGTGGCCCCCGAGTCCTAGGGTGTGTGGGGTTCAGAGCTGGGCCGACAGCCTGATCACATGGGAGGCTGCAGTGGGCCGGCTCCCAGCTCCCAGCTCCCAGCTCCCAGCTCCACCAGTGCCCAGACAGCTCTTCCAGCTGTGCCTGTCCTTCAGGGTCTGTGGCAAGGCCTGCTTCCTCCGGGAGGCCCCACGGACTGCCTGTGAGGGGCCCTGTCCCAGCCCCTCTGTGGCTGTGGGGTGGTTATAGTTGGTGATCTTTGTTTTCTTTTTTGGAAAAGGACGCCCAGAGGGTTTGTGGAATTTGTGTGGGTGCAGGGTGGGTGCTGTAGCCTGTGCACCCCCGTTCTGAGAGCTGGCTGTGCATGCCCCAGGGCTCTGTGTCTGGAGGGATGGACAGAACTCACCTGTCCGGGGGATGCTGCTGGGGGTGGGGTGGAAGCCTAGCAGGTCCACCAGAGCCAGGGGGCTGCTGGGCACCACCTTCTTAGGTAGTGTGTGGTCTTACCATGGTTGGAGTATTTCAGGGATGGGGTCTTGAGGGCAGGCATGGCCTGGTTGAGAAGAGGGCTTCTGGGCCTGACCTGGCCCAGCTGTCTCGGCAGATGCAGGGCAGGGGCTCCCAACTGGCTCGGGGCCAGGACAAGTCAAGACCTGCCCTCTTCTTCTCTGCTAGGCTTGAAATTTGTGAGCCAGGGCCCTGAGGTGTCCCATTGGCTGGCTGATTTCTGTGGGAACTGGCCATTGACCAGATCCAGGATAGGCAGGGGTGTCAGCTCTCGAGTCTGAGTATCTGGTCTATGGCCGGTGGGAGCCAATGTCCACTGGGACTCACCTTCCAGGCCTTTGTCCCCACGTGCAGTAGGCAGGTCAGTTTCATGGATGGCATGCCGGGTGGGGAAGGGGCCAGTCCCTCTCTCCCCTGCCTGCCTGCCCCAGCATGGCCGTTCTATAGGGTGCAGTCCTGGCATCCTTCTCCCTCCTCCTTTCTCATACACTCCTCAGCTCTGGAGTGAGTGACCATAGCGTCCCCCACATCCCTGAGGGACAGGCAGCTCTGACAACGACCCTGGCTATCTGCATCTGTAAAATGGACGTACTCCTTGCTCCTGCAGGGTGCTGAGCAGGCTGGCTGGGAGTTCAGGGAGCTCTGTGCATGGGGTGTCTCTCCCCCTTTCTGAAGGCAAGGCCTGCAGCTAGGTTCTCTCTGGGCCACAGGCTTGGGTCAATATGGGGCCAGTCTGCAGTGTTGAACCAAAACTGACCTGAGGCCCTCTGGTGCTATCCAAGATGGGAACAGGTGGGAGAAGGAGAGGGTGTCTGCAAATAGCAGCCCCTTGGTGGGGGCCGTCAACCTGCCCCAGAAGCCCTGGTCCCTGCCAGGCTCCTGGGACCAGCCCCACCCCATTGCAGG